ATAAAATGACAACTCGTGATAAAAGCTAAGAAAAGGCACAGTGACATATCCTCACCATCCAAACAAGATAAAACATTCTTAATCGGCAAGAAAAAAACAAAGTGGAGGAGAACATCCATTTTTGCAAAATCCTGCTTTCTAAACATGTGTGGAAGCTGAGGGGAAATTGTTGCAAATTTGAAGAACTTCAAGTCTTAATTAGCACCAATAAGTTGACTCGCACGTATTCAATAAATAGCTATGACTGGTTTGAAGGTGAACGTCAGACGCATTAGTTTTCAGCCAATAGGACTGTTGTTGATAAGCTGCTATTTAAACATGCCTCATAGGAAGTTGTTTTATTTGCAGTTCCAACAGAGTAGTCATTTGTTTACATTCCGCGGAAATTTATCTTCTATATCTTCCCGCTAATGTGACGTAGTAGGCAGATGCAAGTTGTATCTTGGTAAGATATAGTGCTAAGGTATTAAAACATTCCATTTTCCTAACGGTTATTACAGGATTGGAAAGATATTTTTTCATTTATGTATTATATTATAAACGTTTGGCGACAGGCAGTGTAATATTTGTAATTCCTCGCGTAACTTCTCGAATTTTGCGGCACACAATGCGAAAGAGGAGAAAAAGAGAGGTTCAATGAACCCTCGAACGGGTAAGCTGGCTGCATTAAAGGAGCGTCAAGTAAATCATTTCAAAAATTTTGACATACCGGCCTCTCTGAGAAATGAAAACATATGTGCCTTAAACGTTGGTTGAACTCACACACAGCTGTCTTCAGGTGGAATTATTTGAACTGATAATGGCCTTAGCTCGCAATTAAATGTCAATGCCTCAAATTTCAGAAGCCTTTTGTGGCTATCTGCTTAAAATAAAACATTCTGTTGTCGCAAATTTGTAATTAGTTGATTTCTTTCGTATTTAAATCTTATACTTTTCGCACCCATTAATTTACGTTTATTTTTTTTCGTTTTTTTTTCACGTATCATTTATGCATCATTATTTCATCGCTTTAGGCGGGCTAAATTACGCCGCCCCATATAATCATGTTTCATGCCCCTTCCGGCGTTGTATGTTCTTATTTTTGCCTCTATGTAAACCTCTTCACTGCGAATGTTTCGTGTTTCGTACATATCCTCAACATTTAAGAAGTTTCGTCTCATTGTATCTTTATATTTATCTCTCCAGTCTTCTTTGTAAGTAGATTTTTTGTTAAGATCATTTTCCGCTTTTTACGAATTTACTTCTTCACGCGCCCTTTAAAAGAGTAGTAAATCGAGTGCTGAATAGATTAAAATGTGTTAATTGAAACAGGCCCTTGCCTCTTCACACTCAGTATCAGAATATTTCGATTGTCTATTAAATAACCCTATTGTATGTTATTAATCTACGTCTCAGGCAGTGGAATAGAATAATTAAAGATATGTTTATTTGGGAGCGAAAAGATTGTATGGGATGAAGATCACGCAACAACAAGAGAACCTTATTCTCTTAGCAAGGGCTGGTAACTCTACGCTTTATAGGTTCTATTTCTCAAGCCCCCTCAAGCAATCTTCGTAGCAAGAGGAGATTGGTAAGGTTAGCCAACTTTTATGTCTTTGCTTTTCATTTCTAATTGATTTTTCTGTTTTACGGCAGTGTACTTGAAATATATTGACCTACGCTGCACTCACTTTTTCAAGCATGCTTAATGTTGAAGCAAACGGCCCAGAAATTTATTTCTAAACCTATGCTCGGGGAGCCGTATCTAATAAGTTGGACCTGCGGTATGGCATTCCTCGAGGCTTGTGTCTTGGCCCACTTCTCTTTGCAGTTCATGCTAGTGCACCGTTTGATGTCATAGAGAAGCACCTCCCAACTGTTCATTGTTATTCCGATGACTCTCAGTTAAAAATCTCCTTTAGTCCCAAGGCGCACTCTGCCCAGGCTGCTGCAGTTGCTTCTATCAAACGACACATTCGAGACATCAGGGAATGGATGCATCAAGAAAAATTGCTCATGAATGATGCCAAAACAGAACTTCTTTTAAAGGGCATGTAAACCCAAAAAACGTTCATTTTCTTTTCACATGGATGTTTATTAAATATATCAAGTACACCAAAGGTACCATTCGTTTTTTCTCAAAAGTCCATTTTCACTTTGTAAAAGCTCTTCCAAATTCGAAACATTCGCCATCTTGAATGGCGCCATCTTTCCTGTGACGTCACGGGTGGATCCTCCAAAGTCTCGTTTTATAATCGCGTGAGGCACGAAGGAGTCTTTTCTACAGCCGTTGTTTGCTGGTCTCGTCATGATTTTTTTACGTACAGTTTGCTTCAATATAATCAATTTTTTCGTAATGGTGAAGCGTTGAGCCGTCCAGTTTTGTACTGATTCAAACAAAACTGGGCATACAATGCAAATATTTCCAAATGACGCAAATTTGAAGCGACAATTTGTGAAATTTGTTCAAGTGAAAATAGCCGATTTCGTCGAGCCGTTCGAACGTTCTGTTGTTTGTAGCAGTCATTTTTATTCCTGGTGCTGTACCGACGATTCAGGCCTCACCAGAAGCAAATTATTCGGAAGACGAAAAACGACCCATACAGTCGGCAGACGACAAGGATTCGGAAGTGGCTGACCAAACTGAGAAAGAAGTTGAGCTCTTCAAAAGTTAGAGGTCAACAGAGAAAGTACAAAATCGATTTACATGAGAACGTTTCGTTAATTAAACAACAATAGCTTTATTGGTTCTCTAAAAACATCTTTTTTCTCATTTAATGAAAGATTATGGGGAAGTCAGTTGTTTGGGAGCCAGCGCTGAGCCCGTAAAAGACACTGACATGTCTGAACCTTTGCCTGTCGAAACACGTATCAAAGAAAGAGAATTCGTTGATATCAGTGTGTTATAACGTGATCTGGAATTTTGTCGGTTCTATACAAAGAATTCTATACAGGATCCCATAATCAACCCTTATGTTCTATAAGAAAATCCATGCCAGCCCCACTTAGTGCTTCCTTTGAGAAACCCTGCAGAGAAACAGCAGAAGAATTTGTGTCACGGTTTTCACAGCAGTGAAAATACATTCAAAGGTCAGTAGGACAATATTCATCATTTTGAGTACAACTTAAAAGATCCTGATTTCAGCTTGCAAAACTATCTTTTCAATAATGCAAATCGAAGCAAACACAAACAGGGTTGGATAATTATGAAGGCCACACAAGGAAATGCACATGATACAACTTGTTTTATCGATGGAAATGCTTCTGAGATGAAGGATATTGTTTACCGCACAAGATAGCACAGCGACCCTAAAGTGTTTGCTGAGATATCCCCAACACCAACGAACAAGCTATCTGTAGGCAATTTAGCGAAATTTCCTGCCAGGAAAGAAGCGAAAAACAACTAGCTCTAGTATTGTATTATTAAATCAATGGCAGAAACAACTCAAGTAAATCGATCTCAAAATGTAACAAAACAGATGAAACAGAAAATATTTAGCTTAGTCGTTTCTGGTGTGATTATCTGTGCTTTACTGCTGCCTGTAAGCGTACTTGGCCGTCTCCAGCACCCAGAAATCGAGGCAAATTGACTGAAAACCTGGATGCTCAGTGATACAACTTATCTGGGTTTCAGGCCATTTTGCCACAATTGCCCGATTTCCGTACAACAAACACTTTCATGAGTTTTCGGCATTGGTTGACAAGTTCCACACTCGCACCTTTGATAATTTTATATAAAACACTCTCAGAAGCTCAAGTTTAAAAAAATTCTGTTGCATTCCTTTAAATTGTACCCTCGCTGTATTGCATTTTCATGTTAAATACAAATAAATCACAAAGTAAATTAAATACCAGTCTGAGTTTCCGAGACTGTCGCATCGCTGTCGACATGTTCTGTACTGTCTTCGTGCGGATCGCTTCGGTGAACCCTACGCGGCTCATATTGTCAAGGACGTGGCCCAGACTCTCCTAAAGATTCTGGATTATCCCCAGCGCTGTCATGTACTAAGCTTAAGGCATTCGAGTCGCTACCTTCTGAAAAAACATCTTCCGAACTACCGCTACTTACACGAACTCCCACACCAGTTCTACTGGGGAATATGTGTTGCGCAATATTTTGGTTCCACCGCTTACGTCACGACTTCTCGCTATTGTTTTTACCGGAAATGGAATTTCAGTTGATAATGCCGATTTTCTCCTAAATTAAGTCGAATTGGACAAAACTAATTTCAAATTCGTTTTCTACGCCACTTTTTACATAGTATAAGAAAAACATGTATTTTTGGGTTTACATGCCCTTTAACTAAACGTTTGAACGTGTCCTTTAGTAGCATGTCGTAATGATGCGGGATATTGATCAAATGAAGCCTTTAAGTGCTACTGTGGTTCTTTCTTTATTCACTCCGAGCTTTCGCCGTTCTACGGCATCATCAGAGAGGACCGAACGGGCTACATGACCGAACAAAAGAACACTTGACCACCGACAACTCGTCGGTAAAAAAACATCTCACAACACACCATCGCAACAACAGCCATAACATTGAAGTCAAAGTAATCACGCGTGAAAATGACCCCGTCAATCTGTGATTGTACGAAGCGTATTACATCAGAAAGCACAAGCCGGGACTGAACTCCCGTGAGGAATGCACTGAACTTAACGATCTTCTAATTTAATGATTTATTTTAATGAGCTATTCTAATTAACTGGTTTTAACACATATTTTAGAACATTTTATCACGCCATTAGTTTTCATGCGTCCTATTGGCTAGTTCTACACTATGCTAATTTACAGTGGCACCTCCAACGTTTAAAACCATAGCGCAAATATTTTATTGTCCACCCTGATGATGCCGTAGAACGGCGAAAGCTCAGAGTGAATAAAGAAAGAACCACAGTAGCACTTAAAGGCTTCATTTGATCAATATCCCACATAACTTCTTTTGATTGGCACCTGACTACATCTTGCTAAAGTCACATTTGATGCCATAACTATTGGACACTGTCATTCGCCTTTGTCACGGTATCGCCATCTTGAAAATGACGTAATGCTTTTTGGCATGAAAACGAGGTCACGCGTGGTTCTTGACACACTGAACACTCGAGCGATCATGCGGAACAAAGATCACTGTTGTGTTCCTAAGTGCAATAACAATAGATCAAAAGTGCAGTCTAATATAACCTTTCATCAATTCCCGAAAGACAAAGACTTAAGAAGACAGTGGATTATAAAAATTAAGCGTGATGTCGGCCGGTCCTTCAAGGTAAATGGCCTTTTATATATCATAGTTCAGTTTAGCGTCGTTTCAGCGTTGTTTATATAGCAAACCTTATATTTTTTCCGATATCTTTCAGATAACCAACAGTACAAGAGTTTGCTCTGATCATTTTAAACCCACAGATATAAAAAAAACGCTAACAGGAAAAAGTGTACTCGTTAATGGTGCTGTACCATCCGTTTTTGAATGGACAACTTTATCAAAGAAACGAAAGTCACCAACGAAACGCGAATGCACAACACGTACTAACACAACCGAGATTGATGTCGTGGATAATATACAGCCAATCTCCTCTACAGGTATTTATTTTTTATGAAATCGTACTTTAGGCCCGCCCTAAATATTTCTAAACATGTTATTTTCTACATTCCCACAGTCGAAATTGGGCCCATCGAAGATTCAAGCGTAGACGAAAATGTCATCGATACTAGCAGCCACATGGAGGACTCCACCGTAACTACTGACACCACAATCATAACACCTACTGTCAACCTACATGATTATTTATTTACTGAACCCGAAAAGCCTGTAGAAGAGCTACTTGAGGCAGCGCAAGCTCGTATCGAACAATTAGAACAGCTGCTTTCAAAACAATCTTTTTACAGACAACTGAAAGGGATGTCAGACAAACGCGTTAGATTCCATACTGGCTTTTCGTCATTTGCTATTTTTGTGAGTACCTTCAATGCCCTTAGACCCACAGCTGAAAGTATGTTTTCATGGTCCCAAGTACAGAGAGCACGAGCAAAAAGTGGGAAAGATATAAGTAACATGAGAGACACTCTCAAGACATGCAAACTTAGCTTATTTGATCAGTTTTATTTATGCATTACTAAGCTGAGGCTGGGTACTTTTAATGAGAAACTAGCCAGTGAATTTGATATTTCTATTTCAACTGTGAGTAGAGTTTTTATTTCTTGGGTTAACTTTCTCTATTTTGTTTTGGGAACCATTCCTATATGGCCCTCTCGGGCAAAAATTGACAAACATATGCCTAAGTGTTTTAAATTGTTATATCCTAAATGCCGTGGTATTATTGATGCCTCAGAGATCAAGGTACAAGCACCATCTAGTATGGTTTTGAATAGCAATTGCTATTCATCATATAAGAGCCACACAACTTACAAAGGCAATGTTGTAATATCTCCATCTGGGGAAATTATTCATGTAAGTTCTCTTTTTGAAGGAAGTATTTCTGACAAGGAGCTTGTTAAGCAATCAGGTTTGTTGAATTTACTTGAGCCAGGTGATCAAATAATGGCTGATAAAGGATTTACTATAGAGGATCTATTAAAGCCAATAGGTTGTGGAGTAGCAATGCCTGCCTTTTTGTCAAGTAAGGGTCAATTTTCAAAGAAAGAACTTTCAACCAGTAAACAGATACATAATTTAAGAGTCCATGTGGAAAGGGCCATAAGAAGGGTGAAAGAGTTTCACTATTTTGATAAAGTTATACCTCTTACAGTAGCTGGCAGCATTAATCAAATATGGACAGTGGCATGTCTTATTACCAATTTCCAGGGGCCTTTGTTGCATGAAAAGCAATATATCTAAATATGTATACAATTGTTGTAAAATAGATGGAAGAGTAAGCATCATTTAAAGTAAAGTATGTAAGGATCTGTAATACAAATAGTACTAACAACTTTTAACAACTAAGAGTTAGTTGACATTGAGTGAGGGTACACTACGTATTAGGTCCAACCTAGGTAAGAACTATGCCATCTGTTAACATGTGATGTGGAAGGGTGAATAGTAGGGTGGCCCTATCCCCTAGGGGCACCCTTTTCGTATGTACATGGCATATTGGTTAGGCATTAAAATAAACAGTAAAATCAGTAAAAATTATATTGTTAGTACTATTTTTGTTTTACAGATTCAATGCAAGCTTTCAAACTAGCTTTTTGGAAAAAAAAATTATGAATTTAATAACTTTACATTTATTCACAAATTTCATTATTGCCAAATATTATAAAAATGCCCTTTTGGGGTTTAAATACAAAACCTGTTGAAGTCATTCATGTATTTTTATTTATCATGTTTGTACAGAATGTTCTGTTTAATAACAGTAAAAAACTATTAAATGGCTTGAAATACACCCAACTTAGTCACAGTATTTGAATGCATGATAAACAATGAAATATGTACAGCTGTTTGTAAAAATTATGGCGCTTACAATATATTACAGACATATAGGCTTAAATGAAACTGAATTATCATAAGTATTGTATTTTTGGAAAAAATACAAAAACTATTAAATTACCAATCATGAACCCAATGTTTTTAAAGTTGTGGCAATAATTTCTGCAAACAGCTGTGTAATGATAATTACTAGAACAAGTTCTGAGTCTAATTAGGTTTGACTTGTTACATTTTAACATTTTAAGAATGCTGATTCAAATGTCTTTACTCCACTTCCCACCAAACTTTGTCACACACAATTAGCTTGTTACTTAGGCACGAAGTTATTTTGTATAAGAGACATACAATAAATTATTGAACACATGTATTCAGGTGATAATCAAAAAAAATAAATTCAGTTTGTCCAGCATTTCAGAAAAGAGAAGTTCATCAAAATATACTCGTTCACAGTGAAATTCGTCCTTGCAGTAAACAAAGAAATCGCACCACTGACTTCCTGTTAAACCAAGGCATCCCATAACTTGATAATAATACTTGTGTGTCTTCTTCAATGAATATGACCCATTTCGTTCATTAAACTTTAAATACTGAAGGTTATCCAGATGACTTGCTGGAGAGCACTTTATTTCTATCAGGCCCCATGGATGTTGTTCAGTGTCGTCAAACACTCTTCTGTCTGGGCTACAGCCTAGGTGTGGGAGACATGGGTTTATAAGAAAACCTACTAGGTGAGTGTCTCTGCCAAACTGTGTTTTGTACATATCAGCAGCTACCCCCTCATTTTGTATCCCATATTTCATGGCTGCAGTTTGGATTACTTTTCCCTTTAGTAAACGCGTAGAAAGGATTTCATGGTCTTTTCTTCTTGAGCATATATCTTTGAAATTTGAAGCTGTAAGCCTAAACTTCCTTAGTTCATGCCATGCTGTTGTAGTTGACTGTTCCCTTGTCTCCATTTCAAAGTCAATAGACTGTTGACCTGATATTGCAAGGGAGCTGAAGAAAAGGTCTTGTTTTTCATTGAGCACTGTATCTGGATAGCTTAAAGATGGAAAGTTGAATGCAGGTAGCTGTATGTTAATATTGCTCTTAACTTTCAATGGCTGTTGATAGCTTATGACACAGCCTTTTGGCACCTTTCCAAAGGCCGAGTCTACTAAAATTGGAGGCTCACTTTGTTCATCTTCCCATATTCTCATAAATCCAGGTTGATTGTTGAGATTTTCAAACTGTGGCGACAGCACACTAGTCAAGTCAAGGCTACTTAATGATTGCTGGAAGGGTTTGTAGATCGTGCTTGCCACACCACACACCTTTCTCTTCTTTTTAGGTTCATGCAATTTATCTTTTGGCTTTGACTTTTGTATAATCAAATCTGTCACTGGGGAAACATGCAACAAAGTGGTTTCGGAGAAGTTTTCGTTTGTTTCCGCTGACGTCATCAAGAGATTACGTCACCAGCTGTTACGATTCCGCAATAGAAACAAAGGTTTCAGCAACTAAGAATTAAGAAACCCAACAAAGTCCAGTAACTTGCTGATACTCGTTAAGTATTTACGGATAAATGTAAATCCAATCGTCTCAGTAAACACATTTAATGAGTTGTAGTTGACTGATTTCGTGTAATTTACACGCATTTTACACTCACACTTGCAAATGCGTGTAGTGACACGCAGTTTGCGTGTTGCGCGCGTGCAGCCTTTTAACTGCATGCATTTTTTACTGCATGCATTTTAAACTAATTATTTAGTCATGGAGCTTGTAAAGCACGCTAAACGTGTAAACTTGCGATCGCATTCTACTCGAATATGGAATTACAAGAAGAGTATAAGCCAGAGTTAGAAGAGGGGACTACTAACTCTATTTAAACCGAGCTGTTTTTTTTTTTTTAAGGATAAAATTAAATCGGTCTCCCCAGAGAAAAAGAATCAAACCACTAAAAGGGCTTATTCAGAGACAAGGTAGAATAAGCTGCAAAGTTCTCACACAAATGCAAGATGGCTACACTTATCGGCTTTCCATAAATAAAAGTTCTAAAGGATACGTATCGTTGCCATACAGTACGTTAAAGACATCTCTGATCTCTCACTTTTTTGCTTCATTAGCTTCCAAAATAACCTGGCGACTTTGGCGGGTAAAACGAAAACTGAGAACGCAGATCACAGTTCCATAGGGCAATTTTACCAACATGGGCTTTGTTTTTTCTTTAGCGTTTTGACAATGTTCACGCAATCAATCAAATCCTACTCAAGGTGTTGGCTTACATTCTTTGGTGTATCGATCGTTTTCAAATTCATCGGAATCTGAATTCTGATCTTTACCCTCGGAAATAATCAGGCTCTAGGTTCTGGATGCAATCCAAATCCCAACAAGAAAAATAAAGCGATATCTAGGTCAGCATTTAGCCTTCAGAACTGGCGTGATTTTTTGGGTTTTCAAGCGAACGGAGGCAAGCGCGAGTCGGGCGCGAAGTGCAAGTTTTTCCTTTTGTTACTTGCGTGGAAATATCTAAAGCAAAAGTTAATATCCTTTCAAGTTAAAGTAGATCAATATAAAAATGAGCTTCCTGACTTACAGAGTCCGTAGCTTCACTAATGGAGTAAATAAATCACCACGCAACTTCTTAATCTTGTTTCCGCTTAGCGACCTACAAAATAAGTGTTTTCTTGAGAAACTGGTTTCTCAAGATTTGATAAATAATTACATCTTAAACAAAAAATACGGCAACCTTAACCTTATTCCGGAAATCAATTAGCCTCAAGACTGACGACAACCGGTGTGAGTATAATTTCACTCACATTCGGTGATTGACAAAATTATGTGCAAGTGGTGTTTGAACACAAATAAAGACATACACATTCTTTAAGTATCAAACATGAACTTATGCTTTGATGTTTTTATAATTCGGCCAACTCAGTATTGCTATTGTAGACTCCAGGTGGTATCTTCTCCAGCTGGTTGTCTTCCAAATCCCATATAATAAAAATGTAGCAAAATACCATTGAGGTTTAGCGTAAAATAATTCTTATAGCGTATCCGACGAGAAACTAAACCGCTTATATATTTGACTGCGAGTTAGAAGAGATTGTAAAAACCTAGGTGATTTTTAAAATGCTCACTGTTTAGGCTACCTCAAAACAATTTTAAAACTAATTTAATGATAATTCTAACATCACACGTTTAAACTCTTGCTGCAGTAATGCAACTCCATTCCTTTGCTCGATACATCAGCTCTTCAATATTAAGTTCGTTTGGTTTTATGGTTGTGTGAAAATGTTTTCTTTCTCTTTCCTTTTTTAAATTTTATGTTTTTTTTTTAATTTTTATTTTTCTATAGTTAATAATTTGTGTCGAGGTTCTGAATTAAGTAGAGACCCCTGAAGTAGTGTGTGTGATGTTCGATTGTTTTTACTCTTGTTGTGATTATTGGTTGGTTGTCGCTTTTCCCTCAGGAGAAGCGAGGGGATTTTATTTTCCCGCCTTATATGGCTGATGTCTTTCTGTGCTGAAAATGTCTACCTGGGTGTTTCATTCAAACTTCGGGAGATATTTGGACTCTTTGTACAAGTACATTTACAGAATTATGGTCTGGCATTCTTAATTTCGAGTACTGAAAAAAATGGAAGTAACTGAATGCCACCGAAACGGGAAATCCGGCGACACACCACATTGTGCGATTTGTAGCTCTAATTAACTATTATGCAGTGAATTTTGCTACTGAAAAGCATTTTTAGTACGTTGATCCAAATAGTACTCCCTGCCCTTAAATTTGATAAGTTCTTCAAGCCATCAAACCTGGTTATTGTTGTAAAGATCTACGCTTAAATAGTAAAGTTAAAAGAGTGCTACGGTTTCTTTATGTCCAACACTGTCATTCTCAAATTATCCCTGACCTGGTTTTTTCTCTTCCTCTCTTAATAACAAGGTCACTTTTCAACTTAAAGAAATTTGCATACAAATTTTGTGAATGGCGAGAGGCAAGTTTTCAACGTCAGAGGTTTTTTGACACCCTTGTCATGAAGAAATAACAATTTCTTCAATTCCACGTAGGCCCGTTGGTAATTTTTTTATCATTATTATTATTTTCTTTTTAGCGTTAAAAGTTCAACTCGAAGTCAAACTCAAATTATAACTTGGACTCGGAAACCAAACAACAAAAAGAGGTAGATTGTATTCCTCTGACCAGTCTTGACATATACGACAATTGAGATCGGATTTCAGGTAAACTTCAGAACCGTGACTTTAGGATAATAAGTCATTTTTTATGATTCTGAACAACACATGATTTCGAGTTGTTCATTTGACTGGTTTTTTTTTTCTTTTTTTTTATTTGGTTGGATAAACTAAACTGGGAATGAGTCTAAACAATATTTAAAAGTTTTTTGAAGTCCCTAATAGACAAAAATTTAGTAAATCAGTGAACTCAATACACCTAAAGTGTTGATCAAACATCGTTCGAAATAGAAAAAAAAACAAACAAAAAAAAAGCAAACTTGTTTCCAGATTTCTATACTTTTGAGCATGGAAAATCCCTACAGGGACTTGAATTTTCTCGAGTTGTCGGCGTTTGTTTCCACTTCACGCCTGTAAGGGCTGTTATCCAGTCATACACTGTTTTGCCTGTCAGCGGTGATCCGTAGAAAGGTGGATGTTGTTAAAAGCGGGAATGGGGAATTGGGAATGTGCAAAAAGTCTCTCAACAGAAAGGTGTTTCAACAGAAATAGAAATGAAAACATTCTCTACGCATAAACCTGGAATTGTGATTTCATTTTTTTACAATTCGGCCAATTCGGTATTGCTAGTGTTGACACCTCTGGCTGGATGTCTCACAAGTCCCACAGAAATAGAATGTAGCATAAATTCATTGAGGTTGGGTATTTAAGCAATCAAAAAAATTATTTTTAAGTGTATCGATGAGCGACTAAAACGTTTATTTTTCTACGAATTAGAGATCGGTCAAGGTTATCCAAAACTAGGTACATTTTTAAAAGCTTACCGTTCAGGCTTCCGCGACTTAATTTTGAAATTTATTAAAGATTAGATGACTACAACATGTTAAGTACTCAACGACGCCAAATAGAAAAATATAGCGAAAATTTAGGTGATCATTCAACGTCTTGTCGTGCTGTTTATGTTGTTGTTATAGATATAGTTTTCTCGTTGTTTTCCCATTGGAGAGGCGAGAGGATTCTGTTTTCCTCCTTGTATGGCTGATCTTTTTCTGTCCTGGAAATGTCTGTCAGAGTTTTTCGATTGCAAACTTTGAAAAGATATTTAAACGCTTAGTACAATTAGAGAATTGTGGTTTGGCACGCTTAGTCTGATATTAAAAGTATGCTGAGTAACTGCAAGTGGTGCATACCAATGAAACGGGAAGCCTGGCGACTCACAATATGTGCGATTTGTTTAATGATTGTGATGGGTGGAGCACTTTACAATTTTGGTTTGCTTTTACTTCAAAAACTCCATTCTATGATCATTAAATTCAAAACTTCAAGTGAACTCGTGGCAATCGGAAGAAACTGGTGTAAACATGTAAACGATGAGGAGCTGATCATTGTGTTCGCTGGGGTAGAATCCCTTCTTAATTTCCCGTCCGTTGACTTATCAGAGTTCAGATCCACGAGAAGATGTTCCATTGACCCCTAACCATTTCTTGCAGGGCCAAATGGGGGGACAGTTCGTGCCTGACTCCGTTGAAACCACTCCTTTGCCTCCGCGTCAACGATGGCGAAAGCTCCGGGGCATTATTTCACGAGTGTGGAGGAGATGGCTCAAGGAATGTATTCCTGCCCTTAACAGCCGACCGAAGTGGACTTCAGAATTCCGAGACCTAAAAGTTGGAGATGTAGTTCTTGTGATTCAGCCCGATACTCCAAGAGGACGTTGGCCGTTAGGACGAATTGCCGAAGTGTATCCTGGACGTGATGGCCACACCCGTGTTGCTAAAGTTGCGTGTGGCGTCAAAACTGTCGTGAGACGAATTAATAAACTGATTCCGCTTGGAATTAATTTTTAATTCCTTATTTAGGAACACACTAGGACTACCTCCCAGTGTTGGGAGGGGGAAAATGCTAAGAAGATAGTACGGGAATGGCGTGTCGTGCGGTTAGCGCGCGCGCGCGCTGAGACATTTAAATTTTACCAGTTCGTACGCAAGTTACGCGTACGATTTCTCGCGTGTGTGTTTTTCAGTTTTAGTCGCATTTTTTTCAGTTTTACCGTCTTTTAACCGATTAAACGTGCCTGCTTTTTAAGGAGATTTTCGTTATCGCTTCCGAACAATCATTAAATTCAAAACTTCAAGTGAACTCGTGGCAATCGGAAGAAACTGTTTGAAGAAAAGCGGAAGCAGTGCAAGTTAAGGTGGCTGGTACCAGTTTTCATCTTTTTGATGGTTTGTAGCTTTGAAAGAATATAACAAAAAGACTAACCAAGGCC